CGTCTTCAGCAGAAAATTTTCTTGAACGAACCATCATTTCGGTAAGTACCGTATCGGATTTAATTAGCCAGGTGTCATCACTAACAGATACCTGCGGGAATGCACGGATAAAAAGTATGGCGACTTATTGCACAAAGTGAAACACAAAGCATGTCGAAGGCGGAGAGTAGATCTCACCACTATTTCGTCTACAGGCAAAGATTCAAGAAACAATCAATTACGTGAAGTCTCGTTTTTTTTTTTTTTGATAGAATCCTCTTAACGGAGTTAAGTCGTCCATAATTTTGACTTAACTACCTAGACAAACGTAGCTGAAACTTCCGAAATATTCCTTCCGTTAAACCAAGATTGAGACATACGAAACCAATCCTTTCCTTTTCAGCATCGTTTTTGTGAGATTTGGTGGGAAACCAATCGTTTTACGGGCTTTATCGAAACCGGAAAGCATTCGTTCCGCATGGCTTATGCTTAGTGTTATAAGAACGATGTCATCTGCAAAGTGTACATAGTGTAATTGTCCACCATCGATTCTCACTCCGTGTTGTCCCATGCGAGATGTGGCATTGCCTTGCCTAATCTTTCTTTTGGCCTCGATGTTAATATCGTTGCCTATAATAATGATATTTTGGTTGTGTAATTGTTATGTACCTCACGAAGAATCTTTACATATTGATTAGGGATGCCTGGAAGTACGAAGATTGGGCAATGGTTACGGATATCTGGATGATCACCCTTCTTGAACAATCACGCAATCTTCCTGTTCTTTCATTGAATCGGAACCTTTCATTCTGATAGGTAACGTGTGAAGACCCAAGTCAGTGATATAATGAGAACTGGTGGAAGGTTCTTCAGGTGTTGAAGTTTCATCTTGTCCAGACCAGGTGTTGTTCGATTTTTCATGGACAGTAGCTAGTAGAAAATAGTATGTAGCTTTTCGGAGGGTACAACAAGGGGCGATATAGCCCTTCTCTTTTACTTCATAAGAGGGAAGGAGGACGCGGTTATTGGATATTTTCCGGTCCCTTTCTGAGATCTGTAACTGTTCCAGAGAGTCGGATTGCGATCAACTTGCCCATGTAATTGGCGAAGTTTGGGTGGCCACTGCGAATCCCCTTCTCACTCTCTGCATTTTTAGCCATTACTGCTGCTATTCTACCCTTTGATCTTTTTAATCGCCTTTCTACATTGTTTCCCAAGCCCGGACGTGAGCTGATGATTCATCTTGTGCGATTCCATCTTGCCCTATCTATTCCCGTAGATAGATGTCTCCTTGCACAATTTGAATTTTCGGATTTAATAACAGCGCTGACGTGAAGATGTTGAATAATCCGGTAGTACCCCTAGTCGATGTTGTCAATAACGGCATCATCCCAAGAACCAACTAATGGTCGGATTAGATCCATTTTTAGTTGTTTTGGAACTTCGTTTTTGAACTTGGCAGCGTGCCCTCCTTTATGCGAGAAATGGAATTTTTGATGAAGGAGGCAATGGTCCTATGCTGTGTAGAATTTTGGAATAACAGCGATATCGGAGAGCCAAAATCTATAATTTATTATGTGGTTCCTTTCGTTATAGTACTCTGCATTAGAGGACCTCCATGTTCGTCGTTGACCTTGAGGCTTTTGAAGTTGTAAATACCATGGATGGTCATGGTCCTTATAATAAACTCAGAAAGCCGCTCACATTGCTCCTTCCATTCTAATCCATCTGTCGTCTGTCCCAATGTGACGCTCTTCAGACGTTCTTTTTGGTCCAATCTTGGCGTTGAAATCTGCAATGATGACCATGAAGAATGTATGGTCTCCTCTGTAGAACTTCTCCAAGTCCATATAGAACGCTTCGACTTCTTCTTCGTCATAATTTGATGTCGGCTCGTAAACGACGAAGATTGTCGAAGCCGGCATTGATCCACATCTTTTTAATCGCAAATGTCCGATTCGGGTTTATCGATGTTTATGGACAAACTCGTGTTGACGAGAACGCTGATGCCGCCAACTCTATTGTCGCATTTTCCGAGGAACAGTTCTTCTCCGATGTCATAGACCGCGTTGAATGGGTGGCGTCACCTCGTCTCGGCCAGACTGATGACGTCATACTTTATTCTTCTTGCTTGCATGAGCAAGTCCTCTATCGAGGACTCGGATGCTAGTGTACGTGCACTGTAGGTACAGATCGTCACCTTGGTTCTTTGCAATCGAGGCAGCTCTCATTGGTCCTCAGATTTTAGCAGTCTATCCGTACTCGTTCTACCTAATGCTGCCGAGTCGGGGTCCCTTTCGGGGTCAGAGGAATGAGGCGCGCTTCTTTTATTGTTATTAGCTTTTTGATACCCACGTATAGCCGACGTGGTATCTGGGTATACTTACGGGTAGCTTGCCAGGCTCTCCCAGAGTGGACACGGGGCTTATTTGTTGGAGGCGACTCCTAACTGCCTCCATATGTTTCCCTGTCACTTGATTGCAGGCTTTTGTCCGATTTGACTTGTAGAATACAATCCGCATAAGCGAGAACGCACCGACACACGTGTGCATTGAATACGCCTCGCAAATACAGAAAGTATGTGCCAAATCGGCGCAGCAGAAACAGGGAGTCTGTATCCACCTGAGTCTCAGGGAAGCAAAGTTCGTTTTTGGTCCGCAATTAACCTCTTATCCTCCTCCTGGGGACGCGCCACGTAGCCTCGTGACTAACCGGCTATCGGGATCCCTCATATAAGAGATAACCGTGGTACAGTGATAAGAGCATGAGAAAAAAATGTCTGTTCATGTGGCCACGTCCAAAATCCATTCTCGAACGGTATATAAGGAGCTGATACTCAGTTGTAGAGTCATTTCTTCTCGCATCTTCTCACGCCTCCACGTGATCACAGCTCTTCCTAGTTGAGTTAGATTTAGGTAACATGTTGTGTGTTCCTCCTCCTATCTAAGAAATTCATTACAAGAGCTGTTCTCTCCTAATGTCAACGCAAATTTTCCGTTATTGCACGACCGTTTACACCATTTATATCACCACATCTACAAGGCACACATGGCAAAGATGACACTTGTTTCACTTTCCACTCTGTCTTTCCTAGACTTTACATCTCTTCGTGGTCGCAGAACTGGTGCTAGATATGTCTGCGAGGATAAAACCACTATCATACATCCTTGGGCAACTGATAGTCAACGCATCGGTCAAATATGTACTCAATAACACCTAAAGTGCTAAATGGAGACGAATTCATAGCACATCCCTAAAGGATTGACCAGCTCGGGCCTCTCCCCCTATTTTTGATCAGCCCAAAACAATTACGCCGTTATAACATTAACACAAAGTCTCATCAGTGCTTCTCTTGATGTGAAATTGGGCCTGCTTCAAACTCCTGTAACTGCTACGGAACCAAACAAAAAGTGGCAAAGGGCCTTCAATCGGGTGATTTAGCAAAAGCCCGCAGCTGATATTGTGGAAAAAGCCTCAGTGGACGAGAAAATACGACAGATGCTCATCCAGAAAGTTGCCTACGAAAACGTACGCACTTGCCAGATATCAGAAGAAACAAGGAGCGGTGCAGCTGACTGGCCTAAACATTTCGCGACAAATAATGTGCTCCACAGTGCAGGAAATAATTTGAAGGTCGCTACTGTATCCTTTATTCTCCGAATGGAGCGTACTATTTTGCGGCGATTTCTCTGGTTGAATTCAACATGGTCAAGGTGTTAGCTGTTAACGGTTTCGTATCGTATACATTTTTCATAGTATTCAATATATATTCGTGAAGTCTTTGTAATTCTATCACATCATTATTGTTAGGCAGGAAATGCCCTGTTATCCAAGTTTGTCTGTCAATGATACTTGTCATGGTATGGCAGAATGAATTGAGACTCTGTTTCTGGTTGTTACCGTTATATTTCGGAATGTGTTTCTTAACCGAAAAACTTTTTGACTTTGTAGTCGACGTCGGCTTCGTGTTCCGGTAAAGAAGGCGCTTAACAGTCTACCCTTATCTTGTCGAGGTAAATCTGTGATTATTGTTCGATTTAGTGTATTTTATTCGTTTACAAGTATACGTCGATTCATGACGAGACTTCATAGTGGCTGACCCTTAGTGGCGAAATCGCCATCTTCACAGCTGCAGTGATTCGAGACAAGTGTTCGTAGTGATTTAACACCATCTCGAAGCTGAATCCAGTGAAATGAGAGCGGTTGGAACTGTTCGTTCTGGATTCTCGACATTCCGGAGAATAGGCTAATCAGGAAACGATGAAGACTCGACATTTACTGTGTCATTACAAATTGGCATTGCTCATCTAGGAATCATTAATACTCTTCGATTTTGCGATCGAGAGTGAGGAACAAAAAACTGAATCCTACGATTTGTTTTTCCTGACAATGTCACCCAGAATTCGATTCGAGTCAGCGAGCTCTCCGCTAATATTACGCTGTGTATGCTTCATTACCTTTCCAACGGTTCACCACCTCATCGTGGCTGGGAGGTGTTCCTGGGTGTCGGGCTGCGATGTACAGCGGAGATTCATTCACCCGGTAGGACCTCTTATGCTGAGAAGGAAACTGGCATTTCCATCAAGAAGCCCAACTGGGAGTAAACCAATACTGGGATAGACCACCGTCCTGGTATCAAACTAGTCGCATCGTGGCAAATTTCCCTCTGATCCACAAGGGCAGCGAATGCATGTAATGGTGACGATATGGGGCAGACTTTGACTAGGCTGACCTCGGGACCCCAGGGAACCGCGATAACTAAACCAGCAAAACTCCGAAAAAAGTGGAAGTTATGCTGGGGTCTGGACAACTAGTGTAGACGGGTCATCTAAGTATCCAAATATGCTTGATTCCGATGACTGCATCTTTTAAGATGATGATGTTACTTGATAACCTCAGTCACAGTAAGGTTACGTTGGTATCCTTATGTAAGCTTATTGCTATCGGTAAGATTTCCACCATTCATTCCACTGTTGAATGAACGTTAGTTTTAAATATGCTCATCGTTTTGTTGTTTCCAGATGCAGAAGGCCACCGTCTGTCCAGCCGAGGATTACCTCAAGTCTCTAAATATCCCTCACATTCGTTTTGATTTCGATGATGAGGTATGTGTTAGACGAATCGGCACTTTAGTGGAGGGTGGTATTCGCAGACTCCTTTCTTCCTTTCAAATTCAGGAATTTTTGTTAATTTTTCCGTGAAGTTAAAATTGCACTTCCGGGCTAGGCATCAAAATCAAAATGCAGAACATGGAAAATATGCCCAGAGGGATTTTTAGTTTTGGTTTGCTGCAGCAATTACCGTTGACACATAGCGCCAACGTTCAGTGTGGCTGTCGCGTGAAGCTACACCTAGTTCCAGTTCGGTTGCGGACTTGCTGATTTCTTCCCAACTTCCCAACAGACGATAATTTTTCCAATTATTGGATTGGATTAGTTGGGACGACATTAGAATTAAAGCAGAGTATTTGCTTTCGTGTAGTCCATTGTGCTACACATCACCATAGTTGACCATCCAAATACATCGCTATCAGCATGTGAAAGTGTTTTACATCTTAACTTGAGTCAATTATTGTATTTTCTGCACCTTCTCGTTCAGTATGATGGCCATGATTCATCAAAGTTATGAGACATGGGGAATGTGCAGTTGTAAAAAGCACCGAAATAGACTCAGTATAGAATGCAGAATGTTTCTGTTTGCTAACAGTAATGTATTTGCGTAACGGACCATAGGAACACACAACAAATAACAGCATGCATGTTGATTTCCACAAAATGGTGGAGCAAAGTCTATTCTACAGTTCTGTTATGCTCATAATCTCCACAGCTTTCTGGTTATTTAAGAACTGGTTTTCATTACAAAAAAGTGGGAGAGTCCGCAGCCAACGAAAATTTTCTCGTATTCCATTCACAGATTCAAGCTGAACAATGCATGTTCTTTATGGGTTAAAATAGCACGTTCGCAGTGTGTACGTATGTGGATGTGTGTCGGCATTGATCATGTACGCTTTTCTTAATGAAATGTCTGTGAAAAAGAATACCTAGATGGGATACTAAGAAACAAACAAAACACTCCACTAGGTACGCGTAGTGAACGAAGGCATAAGAGAGATTTCCGTGTAAAGGTCACCATCCCTGCAAAGGAATCTAAATATTCAGTGCGCAAAACTCTTCGACAAATTCCAAACATGCAAAAATGTACCGCAAGGAGGCGTGCTTTGTACTTATGTGCTCGTTGCTTTGTGTAACCTCGTGCCATGTCTCCGCCCGATTTCTTGACCCGTGCTATGCACATTCCTTACCCATGTTAGGCTCAGCACGGCTTGTCTTCAACCATCACTCGGAAGAGTTACAAGGAATTAAACGGTGAGTATCATCAGCTCTGATGAAGACGAAGACGTCGAAACGTTAGCCGAAAATAAATATACTTATCAACCTCGTGTAAGCTCATCAAAGAAAGAATATATAAACGGTGAGTGTTTAAAAAAAGCTGTTAACAAGGCGAATGAAATTTATGTATTGAGTTTTTTCCGCATACACTATTAAACCACGGATCTTCCTCATATAAGGAAATTAGGGTCGGTTAGTCGCTAGGTTAAGTGGTGCGTCCCCAGGTGGTGGATAGAGCGTTAATCGCGGACCAAAAGAGGCCTTGCTTCCCTGGGACGCAGATGGATCAAGAGGATTGCTGTTTCTGCTGCGCCGATTTTGCACATACTCTCTGTATTTACGAGGCGTATTCATGCACGCGTGTGTGGGTGCGTTCTAGTTCTTCCGGATTGTATTCTACAAGTCAACTCGGCTAAAAGCTTGATATCAAGTGACAGAGAAGTACATGGGAGGCGGTTAGGTGCCACCTCCAAGAATTGAGATCCATGTCCACTTGGGAGAGCCTGGCAAGCCACCCGTGATTATACCCAGCCCCACGTTCAGAGCCCAGCAAGCTATATATGGCTTTCAAGGATCCAAACACCGTGAAACAGTGTACCTACTACCCACGTACACTAGTACCTCAGTCTCCGATTGAATTTGGTCATGTTGACAAGAAGGTTAAGCTACGACGTTGTCGCACTGGCCGAGGCGTGATGAGGCCACCCATTCAACGCCATCTATGGCGCCGGAGAAGAACTGTTCCGCGGAACACGCGATAGTAAAGGAATCGGCGGCGTCGGCGTTCTCGTCAACACGAGTTTGTCCATGAACATCGATTCATTCGAACAACTTACAACCCGAATCGGACGTCTACGATTAAAAAGATGGGAATCAATACCGGCTTTGACAGTCTTTGTCGTTCACGCGCCGACATCAAACTATGATGAAGAAGAAGTCGAAGTCTTCTATATGGTGTTGGAGAAGTTCTACCCATACATCTTTCAAGGTCATCATTGGAGATTTCAACGCCAGGATTGGACCAAGAAGAACGTCTGAAGAAACTCACATTAGCACCCACGGATTAGAATGGAACGAACAGGTTAGCGGCTGTCTGAGTTTATCATGGCGTCCAAGACAATCAATGGCAACTCGCAATTCCAGAAGCCCCTTCCTCAACGCTGGACGTGGGAGTCTACCAATGGAGAGTGCCACAACGAAATAGACCACATCATAGTAAGTAGAAGGTTTTGCCTAACCGATGTTGCTGTTGTCCAAAAATTCTACAAAGGATCAGACCATCGCCTCCTTTGTGCAAGATTTCCTTTTTTGCGGAAGGGAGAAAGAGTCGCTAAATTGAAAAAACGAAGTCCTTAAATCGCCACAAGCAGAGGTTTATTCAATTCACTAGTCGGCGCCTGTTGGGAAGATGCCGTTCTCGATAACGTCGACTAGGAATACGTTCAGTTTATTCAACATCTTCACGTTAGTGCTATAAAAGCTGAAAGTTCGAAGTTCACCAAGAGACGTCAGTCTCCAGAAACACTCGAGCTGATGCGTCAGCGTGGAATCGCACGAGCTGCAAGCAACCGCGATCTCACGTCCGAACTTGCAAAGCAATGCAGACAAGCGATAAAAGATCTTATAGAGAAGAACAGCAGTTATGGTCGAAACTACAGAGGCTGGGAAAAGCATTCGCAAAGCACGCCGAATCTTCTCCAATTATAAAACGAGGATTATTGCGCTCCGACGCTCAGACAGAAGGGTTACACTTTCCAGATATGGAATGGAGGAAATTACGACAACGGCTCGGTTGTCTTCAGGAACCTGTTCTACTCTGATACGAAATAAGAGAAGCTGATATGTTGTACCACCGGTTCCCCTTCCAAAATCCGACATCCTATTTCATCTGTGAAAAAATCGACAGCATCGGATCCTCACAGGATAAGATCTGAACACCTGAAGAGCCTTCCACAAGTGCTCGTTAACACATTGGCTGGAATCTTCACATGTTGTGTCTAAATGCAAGGTCATTCAGTGGAGGACCAGCAAAACCGTGCTAATGTTCAAGAATGGTGACCTTCAAGATATCGGCAAATATCGCCCAATTTTTAATGATGCTGAGATATTTGCAAAACTCCGGACCGCAGGTGTATGCGGTGGGGAACAAACGCACTATTGTCCTTTTCTGGGAGTAACGCGTCACCACCACACCATGCGGATCCTTCGTTTCGCTTGTCTCTCAGCTTGTTCTACCGATCTTTTGCCATCAGCAATCACCCGTCAGCGGGATACCCTGTCTTAAGAAAAGAGTAGGCATTAAATAATAAGTTAAAATTGTGAAAACAAGAAGGGCTGGACACGAAGTGCGTATAAACGGCAGCCGATACACATCAGCACGACGTAGGCAAGGTGAAGGATCGGTCAGCATTATAGAAGGCGAACTCTAAAAGACCATGTTATAAGTACACTGCATAACGCATGTGAGAGAAAGGATCTGAAGCTTCGACCTGCATTAGCTATCAAAGGTAAGAGAACTCATTCTAAACGCCAATTTATCGGAGATAAGGTGGACTGGACCCGTAATGCACATGAACGACAACCGATTATCAAGAGTCATTAGTAACTGGATTGCTCGAGATGTCAAATGCACATCAGGAAGACAACTAATCCAACGATCAGAGTTCTTCACGAAAATACGAGAAGAAATATGTGGTGCTCAGCGAGTCCCTAGAGCGAGTAGAAGCCATTGGGCTACTTTTGCGCGCGACAGGAAAAAATGGAAGATTTATTGGCTCCTTCTCGAGTTACTTGACGATCATCGGGACCGTAGGTGATACACGCAATGCGTTATGAAAGTGTTTGGCTTCGTAAATTGCGTGCTAACTTGGCTTTTCCAGTTTTTGAGGAAGGCGAAACGGCAGGAACGTCAGCTATTATGAATAAATATTGTAATGAAATCTTGTATACCCACAAAGGAAACGTTGAATTATTCATCGCAAAGTTATTGTACACATATTTAGTTTATGGATTTGCATCCACTTATCGTTGCATCAAAATAGTGTTTTTATCGTACCGAGCAAGTATGGTACTGGTAGTGGTTTCCTAACCTCGGAATGATGAGAGGCTTAAGTTGACCTTTAGAACGCCATCAATTCAACAGCCATTTATGTCCCTTCAGTCACGTCTATTCGACCTTCCAAAAACCCTAGGTATTCATATCCTTCTGATCAAAGGTTTTTTACACAGCTGTTTTGGTAACTAGAGATTTGAGTTTTCCGGAACACACAAATTGCTTGATAATTGCTCATTGAGAAAACGGTTTCAGGATCAACTGCGTAAACATCTTTTGTCTGCGATGCTGTGCTGTCCAAAAAAAATCGATGACGGAGGAAATATAAACGCAGATTCAGTGACCAGGAATATTAAGTAGGAACTGTTTTTGTTTTTCTTTTAGGAACGCAATGTTTAGTTGAATTCAATGATGGCCCGCCTTCACAACTGGTGCGACCACCAGTGCATCTTCCTTCTGTATCTTTTTGGCGTGATCATTGCCCATGGTGGTGATGTACTTCGATCATGGTGAGTTTTGCGAGACGCACTTCGTTATCCAGAAATTGTTTCCGTCTGAGAATGCGGATGGCTGGCGTGAGTCGTAAAGGTCTCGAACACTCGTGGATTCCACTCCACAGTTTTCGTAAATTTCTCACATGCTTCCCTTGCTAAACCAGTGACCCATCCATCGATGTGCAATTTCATCGATCTCGAAGATGATATAGTTTTGGAAAATCTGAACTTCGCATTCCGGCTAGATGTTATACATGCCATCTGTACTTTAGAAGACATCGTTCAAACGTTCTACAGCTGGTGCACCGAACTCTTGCTGAAGTTCAAGTGTCAACCCACGTCTCTGCTGCATAACAGAGTGCTGGGGTTACTGTTGAATCGAATGGGTGAGCGTGGATTTTGGACTTCGCTACCTGATCGGCGGCTTCTTTGAGAGGGGAGAAAGTAGTCCATCCTACTCTCATTCTTTTGTGTTTTCTCCATGTTCATTCAATGTTCGAGGTAACATGGACGATATGGTCTTTGCATAGCTTTGGTGTGATAATATCGACATACCGATGCTAAGCTACTGATGGAGGAGTTATATTTGGTATTTGAATGAATGAGCTTAAACCTGAAATATCCACTGGGATAAAACAATTGTGTTCCTTCTTTGTTATTTATCGATTATTAATATTCTTTCCATACCGCGTATAATAGAGTCGAGTTAGCCGGTTAGTTTTTATGTGGTTATTTTTCTACTGTCCTCTGATTGTTTAGCAACTCTTTACATTTGTATAAGCTGTAATAAAGGTGTGCTCGATTATAGGTAGGTAGACCAGGTTTCATACGTGGTTTTTATTCCAGCCGTCCACTTCGACGTGACTGGTGGACGCATTGAGAATCTGTAGCGAGAATGTGTAGAAAATGAATGGATGGGTTCAAGTTCCTTGCCTATTTGAAATAGATTCAATTGGATTATCGTCAGTTATTCGCCTAGTTAAGTGGTTACTTAAACACTGGAATACACCAAATTTGCCAAAAGCCATAGTCGGTTGAAGAAGGAAACGGAAACGTTGTGTTGACAGCTTCTGGAAAATAGGAAAATGTCATAACTGATCTAATGTGAAATGTATTAAGCAGGTCAAGAATAAAATCAGCCAGTATAGGAGACGTTTATTTATATGTTCTTATGAACTGATCTTGTTGCGCCGATGCGAGATTGGTGTAAGTTGATGTTGTTGTTTTTGTCGCTGTCGTTGTTTTGTTGTTGGTCGATGGCTGACATTCCAGCGATCTCGCCTTTCTCAGAGCCGTGTTATTACGAGTACAACGACAGCAACGGCGACAACAACAACGGAGATAATATACCAACTTCGCATCCGCTCAACAAGACCAGTTTACAGGAACGTACAAATAAATACACCGATTATTTTTACCGAGGTCTATAGAAATCGGTCTTTTGTGTTATTAGGAGACGTTTGTTTCTATTATTGTTTCAATGGCCAGTCACAGAAAGTGTTTGTGCTCGCTTCGAAATTTATAGGAGCAAACGCACTAGTTACAGTGCCACCTCTACTCTCTCTGCTTAGTATCGCCCTTTGTGGATGTTCGGTGACCAACACTCATCCCAAATACGTGTTTTCTACATTATGAAATGTAGGAGATAGCTTCTTTTTTATCACCGCTTTTACATCTTTGGAAAGCAAACTCTCCTTGCAGCACAATTATCTGCATTAAAAGAATAACCGGAAAGAATACGCATTCTGTTCGATGCATACCATCAACATTTCCTAGCATGCATCGTATATAAAGTATAGTTTGGGAATATATTAGTACACTTAAGGATAAAAAAAGGATAAAGCTCCCGGCGTTGGTCAATCTCTGAGGGATGCGCCACACATTCGGCTTCATTAAGTATCGTTGGAGGTGATTGAATGCAAATTTGCCCTTTACAATGATTCGCGGTGGCCTACCGATGTATCGAGCCAGTGCTGCTATCCTTCCAGACGAGTCTGGTACCAATTTGTCGACCCCGGAGGGATGGAAGGCTTGGTGGGCCATGGGCGTGGGGATCGATTCCACGTGTGTGGCGCCTTCAACCACTGTGCCACACGTGCTCTATTGGTACATTTATGCATATATATTAGCAGAAGTGTAATAGACTTACGTATACTTGAGCACTTGCGCAGAACGTCTTCACAAGTCTTCTAAATTCTGGCTGATCTCGATTGTATTGTTATTTTGCAAGTTCATCATTAGTTCTATCCCGACCTTGTGATACTGCTTTCCCTGGAAGTCACGATTTATCAGCTGATGACAGTTGTTGTCTGAATAGCCGTGATTCTTGGCCCTGGTTTACTCCTAGCCGAGATTCTGACTAGAAAGGTTGAAATATTATCCGAAACGAATGACTGTCCTGGTTAACGAACACCTGATTTACATTCCAGTTCAGTGCTCAAGTTCCGTCTCGGTTCACGATAAGGTAATAAATCATGGGAAACGGCTACAGTATTTTATAGATTTTAAAGTTATTTAGTAGTTAGAATTTAACTTTTATCGGATGGTTCGTGACAGATAATTTCAGAGAAATTTCTGGAGGGTGCTTTGATCTGTACACCATTGCATTGGCAGCTACCAAGGGGGACACGGTGGAAGCAGGGAAGATAGCAAAGAATCCGGTACGTTTTCCAAACTATTGTTCATCAGTGTCGCAACATAATGAATTTAATTAGGTTCCTAATACTTTCGGATAAAATGTGACACTCCTTCATTTATAAGCTTAAATCCCTTCAGTTGCTTCTCTGGACCATGCGTCAACACCATTTTCTTGTTTATGTGATGTTATTGTCAAACTCGTTTGGTATAACTTCCTTAAATGATTGTATGTTTTCAGGAACGCATCTTTCAACTCCCAGTGTTTGCTCGTATCGTCGAAATGGACGAGAGCAGCTTGAAATTTCGTCCAATACCATGTGATATTTCAAAATCTCTGTATGAAAGAATTCTTCGTGGTAGTCAAAAAGTTAGAGCACGGTATGTCTCATTTTGGAGTTCAATCTCAGTGTTCCTGTCAATTCGTCATTTCCGAGACCGATATTCAGTTTGCCTCGGTAGACATCAGCAAGACCTAGGTTCTTCATAAGTTGCTGCGAGATTTTCATGGATCGGTTGCTTCACAATATCTATCGTTTTATCGTACTTCACTTTCTTCAGTGCCGTATTAGTTAATTCTTTCGTTTTAAGAGATGAAACTTGGTAATTTGATCCCATATAGTTCACATGGGATGTGGAGTCACTCAATTGTGATAATACATTTGGCCTCGTATCCAGCTTTGAATGCATCTCGTTGATGATAGACGGAGGGACTTCTGCCCATGTCGTAGGTGATTGTCTTAGAAGAAGGTCGCTTCCTCCGACAATCTTATTCTCTCCTCTATCTCTTGCTTTTCCTATTACATGAATTGCCTATGTTTTCCTTTCTCGATCTGCTATCCTCTGGATGTCGAAGATCCGAAAGCATTCGATCTATTATGACCAGAACTATGCATACTACCTAGGTTGTATGTGTCAATTGTAATTCAGAAAATATAATGCAAGACCTGTTTTGTATACCAAGGAAATCTTGAGTCAAAAATGTGAGTGTGGAGTTTCATGTCCATTATTTTTTGAATGGCTTCTTTGGAATAGTTGAATACAGTCGATAATGCTGTTCTGCTTTCGCGTAATTTCTGTCTCATTTCGTCCTTCAAATTTGTAAAAATCCCCCATAGGGACACGTACGATGTGCTCTCTGTTCAGCAACTTCCATCTATTTAGTATCTCGTGATAGATTTTTCCGTGAACTGTGTATTCTTCCGATGTATGCGTAGTTCTATCCTTCCTACCGCTTCATCGGGTCCTTTTGGCATAGTCTGTGCTTCATTGGTATTCCTCGGAAATATAGTTATGTGGTTAGCAAAGGAGGACTTGACAGGAATTCACCAACATTGTGTTTGTCGTTCTTGTCCCATGGAGTGACTTCGCTATCCACTGCAGTGCGGAAATCAAAAATCTTAATAAGGTTGTGTCGCCTTGTTCGACCCACTTTCCTACAGGACTTTTTAAAGGGTTTGCTGGAAAGCCGTATTCTCAGTGTGCAGCTCCAGTAACAGTCAGCTAGAGTTCTCCTGTAGGAAGGCTTGATTTCTTAGTCGGCCAGCAGAAATTTTTTCAAATCGACGAGGGTTTTGCAAGAAACAGGTGGTATTCCCAACAAACTCCACTAACTCTGGAAGCGGTATGTAGGTGATCCGTGCAGTACGATCCATAATGAAATTCAACATCTGGGAATGCCAACGGCCGCGACGAGCCGGTGAATCATTAGAGGAGGGGTAAGAAGGTGAAGCCGGGTGAAGGGTGAAGCGCTTGGCGTTGATGAACTCCTTCACGATTTGCCATGCACCAAGTAGCACATGGGATCATTGAGATGGATGAACTTATATTTAGCTAATACAAGGACTCAAGGAGGCCTGTTAATTCTTCAAAAGCATGTTTTTATCCTCCCAGACAAGTTTAGTTCCAATTCGCAGATCTTGGAGGGACTAAAAGTTTGGTGAGGACTGGGCACGTCGTCGAATCAACAAAAACTGTTAAAATCGTACTTTAGAGTGTGCATCGAACCACTAGGCTGCGCGACCAGGAGGAGGAGTTTTTGTAGTTTTGCTGAAATGTTATTTTAGTTTTACATTTTTTAACACCTTAGTGTTCTCACCCATTCTTCATTGACGTCCACACGGGATCACGCCTATTTTTTCGCGTATGTTATGAGCTAGATACGGCTAATATGGTGCACTGTGCTCTGCACTCCAGAAATATTACCATCAGGTATCTTCCTGATTTTGGACGGTCATTACGATGCATCATCAGTGCAAAAGACAAGGAGGTTTATTTAATTCTGTTCATGTGTCAGTGGCGACTCAATATCCTCATATGTGGCAGTTTCGCTGGTGAAAATATTTTTGTACTTTTCGCACCGGCAGGAACCTTTGTGGGACAGTGGAGAATCTCTTCCAAAAGGCAGTTCTTTGTTAATTATGAAGTTTATAAAATACATTTAGCTCACCATTTTTGAACACTTATCACAGGGAAGGTAGCGATTGTATATAGGAAGCCTAGCAAAAGGAAAATATGCAGCATAATAAACACGAATCACTTTGGATTTCTAAAATTTTTGACATAAACCTTGTGGCAGAATATATCAGTGCTACACTATGTGACACATCCTGCTGAACAAAATCTAGTTTTTTTTCTTTGGGATGAGATACGTTTATGTCAATTACTGTCAATTACTCATGAGTTAGAACCATTTCATACAGTCCACTCTCCCGCAACGTTTAAGTTGGAATTGACTCCCATCATCCGTCGTGATCTAACCATCCCATTTTATGATTCCTTGAAATTTATTTAGTTGATCTATGTAATGTAATGAATATATTAGTGCTGATTTCAGTGAGGGACAAAAAAATGCCGCTAAAGCGGAGGAACTTTCAAGACCGGAAAATGTTTACCGAATGAAAGTTGTTAGTTTTTTTTCTACGGCAATCTTTATAAATCCAGTATTATCAGAGAATTTTTCCAGGCTTGTAATTTCCTCATGGAACTCATTGACAGAGAACGACATTCTCAGGACAAAGACAGCGTTTGTTCTTTTCTTATTCTATATTCAACTCCTTTTTGACGTAATGAAGCTTTAATTCTGATAAGATGATCTGTAATAAGTCGGTATCTTTTTTTTCTGGACCTTATGGCGGTCATATTTTGAACTCATATTCCTGGCTTTCATGCTCTTCCGGTAGATGAAGAATAAGGTGCTGTGTAGTTATGAAGCCATTTGCAGCGTCCTTAACATCAGAGGGGAGTGTTAAAGGCGTTATAAAGCTGACCTTATACTGTCATTCAAAGGTGGATGGATGCAGAGGACGAGCTTCTCGTGGTTGCCATGTCAGATTGTTTCATGCTACCCTTGCACACATATTCATATATTCATGGATATGGTGTTCAGCACGTTTAGACGTTTAGCAGGTGGCCTTAGTGAACATCTTGGGACATATTGTATGGGTGGAGTTTTGATGTTTCTTTCTTTCCTATAATCAAACCACATGTCTCCATCGGATGTTTATGTGCTACTTGCTAGCATTCCCAGTTCCCACAACAGAGCCCAGATATTCACGGATGTTGTTATATCAAACTCCTAATAGTGTACAGCTTGTTGTTGCGAACGTAATTTTTACACGATGAGAGGAGCCTTCACTGGTGCATACTCGGTGCTCACATGGGAGTATAAGCAACACAGACGATGTTCTATGGCTCTTTTAGGTCTCCTGGCAGTCTATCCAGAAAAGATACGAACACATGGTCTCCGAAGTCGACAGGCGTGACGAAGATCTGATGAATAAGTACAAATGTTTCGGATTAGATTTTACTGAACGTACTCTTAACAGCGAAGTATGTACACGCAATTCCATGCATCTTGGATATTCTAAATTCATATAGATAGAATGTAATCCATTTCAAAGGGTATACAACGATTTTTTTATCAAGGTCGTTAAAAAGCTAACTTGTCGTAGCTCAATCACGAAGGCACTGAACCAGGCAGTATTCTATGGAATTCACTACGACAACAGCTCGAACGTGCTTATGGTTGGATTGAATGAAAACGCGAGTAAGTATTTTATGACGACACGTTTTTCGTTCGACTTATTATTGATGTTATTTGACACATAATGTGTGATTCCTACTTTCTTCCTTCGTACGATGAGCACATGTTTGCTAATCATTGCGGCTACTGTAGTTCTCAATTCGAATATGTCAAGTGCTAGCCTAATTAGCCCTTTGTCGACATAAAAGCAACTAATCAGTACGGAATGTATGCGGCAGGTATAGAAATAAATCCTAGTACCCTCTTCATCTTTCATTCTCTTGCTATCTTAATACGCCCTTCACTAGAGAGTTTCTACGATACTTCAGCCTCTGAACATCAGTCTTTATATATTACTAGCTGTAGAAAGTAGTTTTCCACTCATTGCAGTCGGCTTTATATCATTGTTTAGCAAAGCTATCGAATGAGTGCATGTATGTAAAAAGAAAAAGGTCATGAGTTAGTGTAAAAGGCTGGAAGCTAAGAGAGTCACATATGACTAATGTTCTTTATTATGGGTAAAAATTCTTTTGCATCGAAATAGTTCAGGACTCTACTCAGAGGAAGAGCTGAAGAAAGCTGCTGAAGCTTGCGAAACCTCTTCATCACCCAACGCTGCTAAGAGTGTGTATGGTAGACCGTCTACGCCCAATCAGTCTTCGCTCGTGGTACCGCGAAGTGGCGAGCACCCTCAGAACGTAAGGTTTACCGCTAACGGTGTTTTCTTTGTGTTTAATGAAAGTTTTAGAGTCTAAAGCCAGTCTAACATTAGTTTTGTTCTGTCTTTCATTGTTGTATCCGCGGTAGTGGAAAACAGTTCAGTCTCTTGATGTTAGTAATATTGTGTCCAGTTCTAATGCCTGTCGAAGTGATTTCCCTAATGCCAATAATCCATGTTTAATTTTAATGGTTGTTGTGCTATACTTTAGACACTTCTGTATGAACGTAATATTCGGTCGCTTGTATCCAACGTGACCAACGATGGACAAAATTCGGGAAGAAGCAATTTAGAATTGGTAAATTTGCAAATTAACACCTTTTTTAAGCACTTAAACACAAAATGTTATCGATTGCTTCGTACTTCACTAAGACCTCATTAATATTCGATGTCTATAAATCATGCGTGAGCATGGAATCTGTTATTATGTGTCTGAATTTAATTTTTGAGATGTAATCTATGTTTATTTTCGCCTCCTCGTTCCAATGATGGAGAAGCATTGTACGTCACAACTTTCCCGTTTCAAGACGACTCCAGTAGTGAAAGTTGTTCAGAGGGTCCTAAGAATGAAACAGGTGTCTATACTACGGATGAAGAAAAGGACGTGGTATACATTCACTACTTCAATGTTGAATCGATGTCATTGTATCTTTTGATTATTAGTTGAAAATATCTGGGAGCAGTGAGATAAAAATTGCACTTTGATAGCGTGCGACGACTAAAGCTAGCACTGTTGTATCCCATTTGCGACTACGTCAAAATTTGTGTGGCGGGACGTGTAAATATGCTTAATTCGGCAGGTGGTGGTGTGCATTAAACTCAACCCATGCTCTCCATTGTATCTCAAGAGATGGTAACCCACTGTTTTTCTGTGTTTTCATTATCTAAACCCTTCGTTGTGAGCTCGCAAGCGATTCGAAGGTACTCTGTATTCATGAGGGCGAGCTGTATATTTCCATGTTTGGAAATGTCTTACTACATTTCTCGCTAACAGTAGTCTGCTTATCTGAAGAGGAACTCTACAGGAATTTCTCATTTGCTATTAAATATACTCAGTAGCTTTTTGTGGTTGACGCCTCACACTTCTGTTAAGGAAAAGCCATCGACTGGGTGAAAAAGCTAGCAAAGAATTCTTGCGTCAAAATGGGCAGTAGGGAAGGAAATGCATTGAAACCAACTCATGCTGTACAACCTGTCGCTTAGGTTTTCACTGGTTTCGCTGCATACGCTCGCGAATGAGATACATTTATATCTTTTACTGTGCGTTTGAAAATTTTTGAAGCTCACGAACAAAATTCCTCAGGAAATTCTGACAACAGACGTTCATGATCCACACCACGTACCTACCTTATCGTCGGATTTAACTGCGAAGACTTTTTCATCGCCCAACACTGCCGAGCTTTTTTATTCAAGCAATCGTGGAAAAGATTCTGCCACTAATGATCAACTATCTGGTAGAGCACTGAAGGTTGTTTCTTATTATGATGTGGACGTTCAATGCTTTTATATGCTGCTGGGTTGTATTTCAGTTTGTCCATAGAGATAACTCGATGGGAACACACATGTTCCAACGAGAATGTCATGAAGACAGTATGCCTGAGGTGCTAGAATCTTCGGCACGTGCTCCTTCTGCACCGAAAGCTGGCCTATCCAACCGTACTTTTGCACAGCCAAAGTACTCCAATGGAACTGCACATCATCGTTCGGCTTTTGGTGTTTCTAAAGCTGCATCGACTTCTGAAGAGGTGACATTACGCCTCTACTTTTCTCTACACGTCTAAAACATATGTTTGTAGCGAGAGTCCAACTGGGAGAAAAGCTATGACGACGGTGTACAACATATGGCAAGTTCCTCTCATCACGCGACAAAAATGAATGAACTATACGATCGAGAAAGAAATGCAGGTTTCCATCGGGTCTGTTATTCGTGTAAGATTTTCTATTATGCTCGTAATTCGTCTAAAACCATCTTTTTCTAAAGGAGTTTGTTCACCGCAGTTCCAACGAACAGTACCAGGAGGAACAGCGTTCAAGGTACACTTTGGATTTTGCCAATAAACTTTATCAGCCTTATAAATCATCACTGTTGACTAATCATTACATTCTAGGAGATACTACGATTACGCAGAAGGTCGTTTTGACCCCAATTTATCAAATAATTCCCGCACTGGTGATGACTCTCGTGCGTATCTGTACCAAACATGTAATCCATACGCCATTGAAATGGACAATTCTGACAAAAAAATACTACAATACAAGCCATGCTCTGTTTTTGACAAATGTCTTGATGAGGAGACGGTGATCAATCATGAGAATTTTCGTCGCTCCTTTGGAAGCGGTGCCAATGTGGAGAAGAACGTGTGCAATATTTCGAATGAAATGAAGGGTAGCGAGTTTGCCAATATGTCCAGTACCAGTGATAGTAAATATAAGCAGAGAACAGGTCTCCATAAGAGCGATCGTTGTTATTCGGAGGAATTAGTGCAACGGTGAGTCTAAATTTTCCTTTAAAGAGATTTTTCTAACCCACCATCTTCTCGAATAGGTACATATAGAACAGAGAGGTACATCTTCTTCCTCTTCTTATTCTTCTGCTACTTCCTTTGGAGTAGAGAGATACAGAGAATTTCAAATTTTATGTTAGATGTTTCAAAATGTTTACAAACAAGTGTACTACTTCCCGATAAGATTGGGATTTCATGATTTCAGCGTTCTTTTTTACTCATACTTTTTTACTCGTCAGGAATTAGCACAGACAGAACGAAGAGGTATATCCTCTATGGAGTACAATGATGCATTATTTCAAATGTTATGTTCGATATCTAAAAGTATTTTGAAAAAACAACGTGTTCCAGTTCGCAAAGGAGCTTTCGAAATTCGTCGCCTTATGAAGTGAGGACGAACAGCGGTTCGTCGACTTGTCAATCCGTGAGTTTAATATGTTTTAATATCACGCTATTAGTATCACAGCAAGTATTTGCATTTATGCGCGTTTTTATGCGCGAGATAAATATGTGCGATCTTTATTGAGCAAATAAAAAAAAGTTAAAGGAAATAAAAAGAAGATAAAGCTCACGGCGTTGATCAATCCCTTAAGGATGCGCCGTGCACTCGACTTCACTAGGCATCGTTGGAAGTGATTGAATGCATATCTTGCCTTTACAATGACTCGCGGTGGTCTATCGATGTATAGAGCCAATGCTGCTATCCTCCCAGACAAGTCTGGTACCAATTTGCCGACCCCGGAGAGATGGAACGTATGGCGGATCTTGGCCGCGGGGATCGATTCCACGCCTGTGTCGCAGGGCGGCTCCGACCGATCACGTGCCACACGCGCCCTGAGACAGCTTAATTGTTTGAAATAAGAATCACTGAGACTTACATGTCTTTGCGAGTAGGATACAAGTTTGCTTATCTTATTCTTTTGTTCTTATTCTAGTGGCATAGAAAGATCTGATGTTCTGAATGTGGCAAATTCTTCGATGGCATTTTTCGCTTTTGTTGTTAAAGTTTTTTCTCAAGGTGTAGGTGTCGAGGTGCTTGAAAAAGGGATCTTCGGGTGGCGAGAGGTCCGTTGAGTGTAGCATGTTAGGCAGAGTTTCGTATCCCAACTCTTACCTCTCCAATTTAGATTATGCAACATGTGGTCAAGCGAAGTTGGGCAAAAGTTTTGCACCTCTTGCATTCTTCAGTGTTCGATAGATGAGCCGCAGTTTTTTTTTTGCGAATTTCATCGTTTTCGTTACGGTATTTCCATTCTGAGTTCACATTTGCAACGGTTTAGAAAGGTACAGTAAATTAAACCAGCTGCAGAGCACCATATAATCTTCCTTGAATGCAAGTTTTGTTTTGAAGAGTGTTAACGTGTTTCATCTTTCTCTAATCCGCACTTAACGTTCTTGATTATCGTATACCGTCCAGTTTTCGTCACATACAATCAAGAAATGGATTGTCTTTGTAAACTAAGCGAAGAGTAAACTTCACAACAGCAGTCTTACTGCTCTTCACTCAGTTCGAGCCAAACCCATTTGTTGAGTTTTTTCACCTTTACGATGCGTTTCAAATGATGAACAATTGATTATTGGTTGACTTTGTGTTCTTGTACAACGTCTCGAGTAGTTCTTTAGGAAGTAGTTTTAGTTATAGCCTCACATGACGATAGCAAACTTTTGCGATGTGCACACCACCTTCTTCGTGATGAACTCATTTCCATTGTACGAGTTCTTTCAAACCGTTTGTATAGCGTGCATGCGGAATTTTTCCATGCCACTACCCCTTGGTGTTTTGGCTTGCTTCTTTGGCAGTAGCGCATATAGCGCAATAGTCGGAGGCGCCATGCGATACACATGGGATTGATCACCACGCCCAAAGCTCACCCATCCTTCCATCCCTCCGGGGTCGGTTAATCGACAAGACACATATCTGGGACGATAGTAGCACTGGTTCGATACATCGATAAGCCACTGAAAACCATTGTAAAGGCCAGATATGCATTCAGTCAACCTTCAGTGATGCTTAGTGAAGTCGAATGCATGGCTCATTCCTCAGAGATTGATCATCGCCAAGAACTTTTACCACACTCACCACACTCCAATTCTGTTGCGCTACCAACCGTACACTATACTCATTTGTTCATTACTAGTTGCCAAATATTTGTCATTGAAAATTCATAAAAATCTCTCGGTTCCGTACACCGATCTTTTTCATCCCCACTGTATTCATTGCCACTGTTGATTAGAAAGTAGGCGACCGAGGACCCGAAGTTGAAGCCGTCGTAGTCAGCCAATATGGCTTAATAGTTCTCTGTTTATTTCATTTCCAGTTTTCGTGATGGTTATGATTATGGATGGAATGTTTGTTTATAAGAAATACCGTAATGTGGTCAGCATAAGTAGCAAAAATTCTAAATTTTGACAGCAATATGTTCAGCAGGTGAAGTATAGTAAGCTGTAGCATGTAGTAACAGCGTTATACCTGTGGATGGATAAAGCAAAGCTTTTTCTATCACATGATGTTAACAATGCCATATCTCCTCTAGCTATCGAAAATTTGTCTCTTATTGTCGAAAAAACCAGAATTTGGCATGTTTACGTCGCGGACAAATTCGCGGCTTCTTTTTGGCCTAAGCGAAACCAACGTTGGTCGTGTATGTGTAAATTCTCCTTAGAACGCCGAAATAGTCCTGCTACGGTGTTCTCTGGTCGTCCAAATTAAGTCACCACAGGTGGTTGATTTTTTTTATAGATCGAAAGAAGGTTTCTCGCTTTGTGAATCGCGTTCTTCCAAGACGACAGAGATTTCTGTGAACACAACGGATCCTAGGTTACTCGACCTGTGCTACTCGTGGAGGATATAACAATCCGATGCGCACCCAATTTTTTGGCCGTTCCTTTCCATTCACCCCATCGTGTACCTCACCTAGCATCAGACGTACAAAACACGAAAAGGATAAATTCTTAGAATGCGAATCCTACCAGGTTGATTTGCACAATAGTTAGCTGCTGGCATGGTTTTTTAGGCATAATTACGCCGAACTACCGTCTTATCTCTCTGCGTCTTTCCGAGTTTTGTAGGTACATTGGCTAACTTGATTTCACTCATGATCATGGTATGTACCAGTCAGCGTCTGCTTACTAAGCGTTACTGGACTGGAGAATTTCTTATCAGCCTCGTGTAGCATCATTCTTACTAGATGAAAAACCCACTAGCTAAATTAATGCGATTAATGGGTGGTGAGGTTTCTAACGATAGCGTTAGTTGTATAAAGCAATAATTATGAGTAGTTCCTTGATATTTTATCATAAATCGTGTATTGCACTTAGTATAATTTAATTTTGACCTGAACAGATGCTTACTGTAGTATGCGTTGAGTACATTAAAAACTCATTCGCACTTATAAACGTTTTTAGGGTCAAAATGATACTTTACGGGAGTCAACGTTGAGCTCTGAAGAAAGTGTTTGCTTACGCATGATTCGTGACTTCGCTTATGTGTATCGGAACCCAACCACTCATGGTTTTCGTACTGTAAGTTTTTAAACGTAAATAGAATGAGATTATGATGACGATGATAGTCTTTGTTTATAGCTGGAAAATGTTGTGAATTTGTTGCCAAGAAAAAGTGTGGACTATTGGATTCCGCTTATCCAGTCTCATCTCCCAGAAGTAGAAATTGGAGCGTTTCATAATGCGGTATGATTGTAATTGTATTTCAAAAAATGTTAACTCTCCGTAAAATGTCAATAACAGATTCCCGACTATAGTAGTCATGAAGGGGCTGGCTATGGTTGGAAATAATTTGACCATTATCCTAGAAATAGACATATTTTAGTAGGTAACATTACCGATCGGAATAATGAGTTCAAGGTTTAAGCATCTTTGCCTATAAGACTATTAAGTCTTCTTATTCAACAATGATGGAACTAATTTTCTGGAGTTTCAAAAAACAAATTCATTGAGCAACACGGATTTCGTTTGGCAGGACTTTGAGGTTTCAAAAATTGTTTGTTGTACTAGTGATTTTGCAGAAGTTTTTAAAAAAACTGTAGACGATAAGGCCATATTTCCTACGTAAGTTTGCCAAGTTCTGAAGATTTCGAATGTTCTATTTATCTAAAAATTGTCGAACAACCAGCGTCGTCATGAATGTGTTAAAAAGCACTTTGGGGATATTTTTTAAAGTTCTTTTCTTGCAAGCGATTCACAAATTGGTATCTTCTATTTCATTGCCCATTTCTAATTATAATACTGTTTTTCTGTTCATATTTCCATGAACCGACATTTCAATGATAACGATATTAAATTTGGTACTTTCAAGCGAGTGCTTATCTGGAAAGGAACGGATAACTTCGATTAATCGACTGTCGGTGCACGTCATTGTCGCGTTTTAGGCTAACGATCTCTTCTTGATGAGCTGACATGACATATATATGTTGTTTTGTTGTTCATATATGTTTATATTTGTATATATGTACTGACATTCCTGCGACTTCATCTCCTTCAGAACCTGTATGTTTTAAATGTAACATTAGTCTTATGAGCTATGGTCGGTGAACCGGAAAGACAAGTGCCTTATTATCACACCTGATATGGCACCTTTATAGGTGGTCCCACTAGCAACAGCACGTTGAGTAATTTTGATCAAAATGGCGTTAATTAGGTGTTACATCTTCGTTAATACTATAGATTTTCACCGAATCATAAGACTGTTTCTACAATGTAATCAGTTTTTATTTACTGCTTATTCTTTTTCATGGCAGAGTATGATGTGAATTACAACCACAGTGATGCTGAGATATTGCAAAACTACAGACCGTAGGTGTTTCATCTCAGCATCATTTTTGGTACTGTTACATTTAATACGTTCTGGTTCTGAAGGCGAAATCACCGAAACGTCATATGTGTCGATTATTTCTGCCACAACATAGAAACTTGGTCTTTCGATACCAGATTGTTAACACGTACCCTTTACTTCCAACAGTTAAGGTTTTCGTCACTTCGCCTTTTTCAGGGCATGTAAAATTGTTTTATAGGCTTATGTTTGTTGTTCGGTATACATTCAATAACCTTAATGAATAAAGTGGATTTTTGATGTTGGGCATTCTGCAGTTCGTTGTTTTATATCGAACAAACAACCAAACAAACGGCTATTTAATTAAAAATTCTATTTCCAAGTGTGCTCTAGTGACTGCAGATTGATGGCTAACTCTGCACGTCTCCTTAACGTACAGAGTCCAATGAGTGGCTGCACTGCGTGATCGTGGCAAGCTATATTTACTGGTGACTACGTGGTTTACTGGATGGTTAACAGGATTATGTCTGAGTTATATGGGCTCGCGTAGCGCAGTGTTCGGAGGAACCCTGCATTACATATGGGATCAATTCCAGCTCTCATGGGATCAATTCCTGCTCTCAAAGTCCACCAAGCCTTCCACTCCTTCGAAGTCGGAAAACTCGTACTGGTACTGGACCCGTCTGGAAGGATAACAGCAGTGGCTCGATGCATCGGTAGGCCACCGCGAGTCATTGTATAGCCCATTCAGTTACCTCTACCAATGCTTGATAAAGTCGAATGCACGGCGTATCTTCCAGCGATTGATCAACGCCGAGAGCTTTATTCTTCATTCTTTATATCTGAGTGATGTAAATCATCTAAATATAGCCACAATGATGCTGAGATATTTGTAAGACTCCCGACACCAGGTGTCTGCGGTGTGGACAGAACATGTCATTCCTTGGTTTCGAATAAAGTTTTCCCTATTTTTTTTCTAAATGGCATGTGGAGATTTTGTAGAATATCAAATGTTACTATGATATGTTGATGTGTTTAATTTAGGTGGTAGAGTAAAATTGAGAGAAAAACTGACAATAAAGCAATACTTTCAAACCGACCGCTATTCAAGTCCCTCATTAATAACCATTATCTTCCTGGAATATTAAGCCAATATAAGGTTGACGAAAACGTTTATTCGCCTATCAATACATCGACAGGAGGAACGGCTGTGGACCATCGACTCGGTTCATAGGATCTGAGGAAGACGAAGACGTCGAAGCGTAGCCAAATAAACCCTTATATCGACTTCACGTTAGGTTAATCATCCAGGATGAAGGTGAAGCGTTGATTTCAAGAGTTTCATGATGAAAATAAGACCCATGAAGACCAACAAAGGTGGAGGCAACTAGTCGCCAAAGACGATCATCATACAGAGGTGGTGGGGAAGATGCACGAAGAATGGTGCAAGAACTAACAGAAATAGTTCTTGGGTAAAGTATCGGTCCTAGAACACCCATAGCAAATTGTGTTTAAAAGAAACGATGACGCAGAGTTCATAACCTTTTTTACAATGCTTTTCGAGCATTCACACTTGTTCACTATTTATAGTACAATATGCTGAGATATTTGCAAAATTTCGGACCACACGTGCCTACGGTGTGGATTGAACCCGTTATTACCCCTTTAGCACCATTGTGGTTGGATTTCACATAATGTTGTGCGAAAAAAATCGTAGTAAGCAGCAAATAAATTTAACACTACTATTTATATTTGTCCTCCCAACGGTTTACCACCTCAACGTGGCTAGGAGGTGTTAATGGGTGTCGGGCTGCGATGTAGAGCGGGGATTCTTTCCTCCGACAAGGTCTACCAAGCTGAGAAGGAGGCCGACGTTTAAATCAGGAAGCCCAGCTAAGAGTAAACCAATATCAGGATCCACTACCGTCCTGATGTGAAACTAGTCGCGTGGCGGCAAATCTCCCTCTGATCCACGAGCGCAGCTACTGCCTGTGGTGGTGACGACCAGGAGCAGACCTTGGCCAGGCTAAATTCGGGGTTCAAGAAAACCGCAATGGCTAGACCAGCAAAACTCCAAAAAGAACGAAAATTATGGACGAGTTCAAACAACTAGTGCAAGCGGGCCAGCCAAGTATCCAAGTAAGTATTTATATTTATGCTCTGAAATTCAGTATCTGCATATTTCGATCACTTAGTTCTCTTATGTTAGCCATGGTGTACGTTTTATTGTGTTGAATTAAAAATAAAAAGAAGGATTTCATGTACTCTGACTGTTCGTTTAGTAACTCAAAAAATTTGCCCATCTCCTCTTGTGTAGAGCAGATGACAAAACATTCGTTTATAATTCACTGATTTTCTTCAGTGAAGAAACACTAGGTTGGTATTATAGAACTCATTAGAATACAACAGCTGCCGTTTCGGCGGTTTCGCCTTCTTGAGTTTGACCTTTCCCTTCATGTCAATTTGAGCTTTCCAGGCTCTGATGAAGGGAAATCCGTCGAGACGTCAGCTTTTGCATGTTAATAAATTTTATAATACCAATCTCATGTTTGCGCATTTGTTTATGCATCTGTGGTAGATTAATTGCCGGAGATCGATTACTGGTACATCCACATTGAAGATAAAGACAATGGTAAGGTTTGGTTTCAGTCGGCATCACATTGCCAACCTTCTCATTTTTGCATAGAATTTTCTAGACGATCTGAAGATTGAGCTGTTTAGGTATTGCTTTAAGAGGGCCACTAGCTGCTTAATCGGAACTCACCAATACGTTGCTCGTTCGTGATGCACAGAGTTCGAGGATGGGTTGCATTGCAGTCATTCGACCCGTCTGTAGAAAGGACGGCAACGTCGAAGGATTCGATCACGTACGTGCTATTAGGACGCGGGTTATGTGGACAATACAGGAACATATAGGTGTTCACAAGATGGGTTCAACACGTTTTAACAATTTGATAAGGATTAGAGTTAGATCCGTCGGTATCCTATCAACGGAGTCACGAGCGCTTGTATGCCAATACTTCCTCTTCTTTCAGTTTCCTTCGAATTAAATCCCTCGAAAGTCCCACAGCCATTTGTAACTGTCGACAGGATACTGCAAAATCTCAATGTTCTAACGTTAATTTGTGCCTATTCTTTTTTCATGGTAGAGGATGATGTGAAATACAACCACAATGATGCCAAGATATGAGCAGAACTCGCAATCTCAGGTGGCTTCGATGATCATTCCTGCTGATAGCACCGACAAAGCTGAGACGTGGCTGGGAGAAACTGTGGTTCTGAGTTTTCCACATATCGCTACAAAATCTGTTGCAGCTTTTTAAAGGAACCGCGCAAAATACGAAGGAGCTAGGGGTAGGGAAATGGGAGAGGGAGCGCTATTACGGCACCATTTCTCAAATGTACTAGGTCCAATAGCCAATTGCCACTATTGAAAGGGTACTGCAAAGGTCGTTGAAACATGGAAAAGAAAACCCCCAAAGTGCGAAGGAGAAGAGTGAGTCATCTAGCCCGCCCATAATCGATTCCCACACGGCAGGATTACATTCACAGTGGTGCTGTCGTCCCTAATGACGTCGCCGTTAGATACTGCACCATCGGTGCTCACTGTGCTCGATCCGCCTTCCCAGCTGAAAACTATTTGTTTCACGTTGTTAAAAGAAGGGAGAGTAGGGTTCTACCTCCCCACCGAGGACAAGGATGAATTGCTTCGATTGTTCAAAAAGAGAGCGAGTGAACTAAGTCTCGTACCCAACGCTAAATATTTAGCTTGGCACGGTGGCTTACAAATCGACCTCAGTGATGCCGACCTACTAGCCGAAGTAGTAAGAGTGTGTCCGACAGTCTTTGTAAATGTTAGTGATCCGAATGATTCCAAAGCTTTACCTCACAGCTTCTCAGAGCGGTTTTATGGACGAGAGAAGGGAAAGTTCCACGCAAAGGCTCAAAGGAACTGTTGCAAGAGAACTGAGAGCTGGGACCGTTACAACTGTATGGTCGATTCGTGCCCATATCATGCATACTACCCGGACTATGACTTCAGATCCACGAGCTGTTGCCATCCCCACTTTGGACATCCGTCATCATTCTGTTGTCAGAGACTCTTCTCTTTGATGTACCCACCATATTACTCGGTTTTCGGAAGTGGTTGTTGTTATGGAAACAATCTAAGTAAGTTTAAGCAATGTCCGTTCTATTGTTACTAGATGCTTAATCAAATCAGTTATTGGTTTTGATCAGTTTTCTAGCGTTCCATTTAGTGGCTATCGTTACTATGTACTGAAGCTTGGCTTTTTAATGGATTTTTTATGCTATCTGCGAAAACACTGTAATGCGGTCTGAGGACTCTTTGATTTCTCATACACCAATAGAGCTTTTGTATTGTTGATGATGGCTTGTTATGTAGTATAGGGAAACGCGTTTGTCCAACTTCATACCTTTTTTAAGACGTAGGATCTTCAGATTAGGAATTATACCGATCCACAAGGATTTTTCTTGATTTCCTTCAAACATCCTGTTATACGGTCATACGCGACCTGACCACGTATGTTCGCATCAATTTCTGGTGTGGGATGGTGCAGTCGTCAACCATATGCGACTATAATCAGCTGTTCTAAACTTCCTAATTGGAAGTGAAGTGAAAAGCGGTGAGTTTTTCGAGAAGCTGTTGATCATGTAATTGCCATAAAGTTTTTTCGTCTTTTTGTAAGTGTTATTGAAGCGTTTGGCCTAGACTTCCAGGCTTTGAAGAAGGCGATACTGCCGAAACGTCAGCTAGTGTTGTATTGTATTGTTTCTCTATGGAAGTAAATGCATGCTGTTTAACAACCTCGCGATTGCTGAACAAGAAAGCGACGCATACATAACATAACACTGGGAGAACTAACGGGAGTAGTTCGTGCGTAAAGTAGGAGACCTAGGATACCTTAAGCAGATCGCGTTTAAGAAACCGATAACGAGAAATCAATATCTGTTTGAGTAACTATTTCTGAGCATTTAATACCGCAATGGTAGCCATGGTGTACAAGGTTTCATGGTGTTGTATGAAAAAGAAGTTCTAAGCTGTGTAGAATAACAGACACTGTGCTGTACGAACATTTATTTTACAACAGTTTAAATCCAAAACCATTACATTGACGAACATAATGTCTAGTTAAATCACTTGCTTCTCTTCTTCTTTCTTTAGAGAGTTTGACAACAAAAACTGTAGTGGGTCTTGTAACGCTTTGAAAATTTATGTGGATTCTTTAAACAAAACCCTATATGGAGGGCATATGCGATTATATCTAACGTTTAGACAGTAATTTCGTATAATAACATAAGACATCAGCTAACTAGTAACCAAGGGGTTCGCCACAAATACCGCAACGTTGGTGTCCTCCATGGTAGTGTCCCATTCCACAAATCGGTAGGTGTTCAAAGTGTGGATCGCCTGGAAGAAAGCACGATCTGGGAAAGCTGGAGAATGGCGACTGGCCGTTGTAAGGGCCGATGTCAAGTGTTTCTTCATTGCAGAATACTGGAGAATAGCTGTGGTGCTCGTGTCTCTTCGACTGTAGATCTTTTGAGTATAAATGACGATTTCGGGAATGAGAGTGATGACACTTTCGCCGATGATCACGACTATTTAAGTAGGACCGGCCACGACTATGTGAGCGGGATCGGCCACGACTATGCGAGCGGGACCAGCCGCGACTATGTGAGCGGGTCCGACTTCGGTTCCTCGTTCGATGTTTCCGTCTTAGTGGTCCACGCGCCCTGTCGACGGAGTCCGAAGATGAAGGCGAGTACCCATTTTCGGTTCGCACAATAATTCTTACCGTCGGGCAATCATTCACGATTGAAAGTAGTGCGTCGGCACTGTTTATCTGTATGCTATTACAGCCAGTGACTGCCCACATGTCGCTTCCAGGTGGAATACCGAGTTCGCCGATCTTTTTCTGGAGTGCTTGGTAGAGCTCGTCCTTTTCCTTGTAGTCTATGGTAAATCGTTGCTTGCTTTCTCGGCACAGCTTAAAATAGGCAGTTTTCAGTTCAGTAGTCGAATCAGTCATAGTTGTGGAAGAGTGGTCGTGAATTGGCCACTGAGACTTTATATATACGTTTTACTTTCGAAAGGCCTGATTGGGTGGAGCATAAACCGAAATCATAGGACAGTGCTATCAACTAGTCCATTTCGAAATAGCTTTCATTTTCGAAACTTTTTCGAAAAACACATGTCGAAACTGTTTTGCGACTGCTAACTATAATCACGTGAATGGTGGAGAATTGAGATTGAGAATGAATAAAATGAATCTACGTGTCCTAGACCGATTGAGATGTGGGGAATGAACTCCTGCTTTGTTCTAGGGTATTTTTTTTGACTTTCTCAGCCTACATGACGATTGCGAGAAGGCGAATGGAACGAGAGAAAAGCTTTTATCCGAACAATACGTGGTGTCCGATCATGTGAAAAATTACAATACAACAGTGGTCCCTCAGGCCTTTTTAAAATAAGATTTCAACAATGTTCGTACGTAGAACACAACAACAGCAGCAGTAACTAACCTTCTCATTACAAAGTTGCTTGGTGAGAATAAGCAAATAAGTTTGCTATGGTCATATCAATGTTCTCATCGCAACAATTTTTCCTACTCTTGCCACTCCCCAGTCATCCCCTTTCTACGTAGTAACCAATCCAAAATGACAAAAACCATTGCATAACCACGTTACAGAACTAAATTCTTTATCAGAATTGGCGAAACTTATTGACGTTAGTAATCACACATCGACAATTCTTATCACTGAAGACAATAACATGTCATTTTCCATATGCTGCAGTATACTGCCAACGAATATCTACCTTGAGCTCTCCATGCTGTAACGACACATCATACAACAGGACTCGTACTAGTCACTTTACACTACATTCCAACACAGTATTCAATTTATGTGATCGACAGAGGACCAGAGTAACCCCTAAACAAACAAACAGTATTTAAAAACTATTGTCATGGGAAGTAATGTACCTAGCAACCATGGAAATGGCCTAGCACGGCGTCGCCTAGATGTCTATCGTGATCAAGTCCTATTCCAAAAAAAGGATGGCAACCATATCCGGGATCTGTGTGCAAAAGAAAAGCGGTTCAAAGGACAGAACGTCGGTGGCTGTCCATAGGATGGGCAGCAGAAAAGTGGGGGCTCGGAATTGCTGGGACAGTGCTCAGAGCATTCTCTGAGATGTCCGGTGTCCGAGAAATCCCTTGAATAAGACCTGCCACATCGCCATGAACGGTGTCGACCTCTTTCGCGATAGCTCCTATGACCTTTCTTCACCTTTCGTTTCCCCATCATCGTGTTAAATTCTGGGCATGAGTCTGTGACACCACCTTCGTCACGTACTGAAATACTCATTACATCGGATCCGATCACTGCTATACACAGTAAAGCATCAGCATCTTTGATCTCAATATGGTCGCCATCGAGATCGACAAGGTGCGTGGCTCGAAGAGGGATGTTCCATTCGTCAAATTTACTCTTGAAAGATCGAAGCAAGTACTCCTTGTCCTTGCAGCGAATGGTGAATTGCGATGGATTTTCAAAGTACAGCTTAAACACCATAGTTTTCGATTTACCAACGGGTTCAGTCATGGCCGACGCGTAATGACAGCGATCTGGACAGAAAGGCTCTGCCATCGAGAAGGGACAGTGGGTGGGTGGGGTCACGCGCATGTCAACGATGCCGATGACTCATCTCCCATTTGCACTTTGCATTCATTTCGAACCTAGACTGTCAGAAGTGGCATTGTTGACATCTATGCAGTTTGCTAAAGATATGGGATATTTATGGGGTCATGATGACTGAAGGGGAAGAACAAAGGCACAATGATTGGGAAATGATAGCCCCGTAACATTGTCGAACTTCACTGCGATGAAATGAAACTAGTTTGTTGAGAAAGTCGAGTAGAAAGTGATGATTTGGTGATGTGATAATCATTAGCATACTAGAGGGACTTTAACTTTCTACTTTAAGTTTTGTAACTTTCATAACAAAGTTCGCAAAAGCAACTTCTAATGCAGTTCGGTACTTCACTCCAAGTTTTCGAAACGTTCTAACAACCTGCCAACAACAACCATAACCTGCCATTAAGAAGAAAAAGGCAGAAATAAAAGAGTTAAGATTGTGGTTCTAACAACTTCGACAGTGCATTTACTTAGAATATTTATTATGAAAGTAAATAGGATAACAATAATATTTTGGAATCACATAATACCGCATTCCTCCCTTTAGATATTGTCTTTGGCATCTAGCAATTACAGAAACATCTTCGCACTACCCCACGACGTCCTCCATGACAGCATCACAGGGTAATACATGGATATGGTTCGCATCGGGGAACCAACGAAAAATTCGGATGTTCAAATACAGCTGGGTGAATACAATAGGGTTCACAGAATGGTGGAGGTGCGTGGAGATATGCTGGATTGTGTAAGTGTCCGCAAAAATGAGCTATGTCTTCTGAATATCTATGGTGAAGACCCGCCAAACAGCAATGAGCTTTCCAACGGAGACTGCATCGATGGTGGGACCGGAAACCATTTATACTTCCACTCTCAGCCCGTTCGTTAGTGGGTTCTGACGAAACCGTCGACGAGTTCGAACAATCGTCGTCGGGACGCACTGTTAAATACACCTTCCGGGTCATGTTCACTACGTGCAACAATCTCTCGGCGTCGTTAATTTCAATCTGTTCGCCAAAGGTGTTAGTCCAATAAAATTCTGAAGGCCGAATATTGTGCTTCTGTAATTCTTTGAGAAGAGACTGGTATAATTCATCCTTGTTCCTGTACTTTATACAGAGTTCGGGCGCATGCTCGCGAAAAACAGCGAATAGAATGGTTTTCGGATCACCCGAAGATTCTGTAGATTCGGACATTGCTGGTGACGTAGATAGGAGATCTGGGATTGACGGAATACCTTCCGAGCTGGGAAGTGCCCAGTGCACAATGTAGTGTGACAGTGGGCGGAGCAAAATGGAATGGCGCCGATGTCGCTCGGACTCGATTCGCGGGTGATTTCGCAACTTGCGATCAGCGCTGAGGAGCATTTGGTGGGCAGGGCACACTCACAGAACAACGCGGTTTTCGCAGACTGTAGAAATATGAGATGTATCAAGTAATTTTCGCCTAGCAGCAGAAGGTGCTGTCGTGATGAACGGGAAATACTTTCTTCAGGCTCGCAAAATATGGACTGTGGAAAAGTCCGTTGCTTTCAGATTACTTATTTGGATACTTGGGCATGGACGGCCTGTCTTCACTAGTTGTGCGGGCACCAGCACAATCTCCATTTTTTCTTTTTTCTTTTTGGAGACTTGCCGACTGAGCTATTGTAGTTCCTGGGGTCCCTACGTTAGCATGACTAAGGTATGCCTCGAGTCATCACCACCACAAGCAGTCGCAGCCCTTGTGGATCAGAGGAAGATTTGCCGCCATGCGACTAGACTGATACCAATACGATGGTCGTTCCTGGTAATGGTTTACTCTCAGTTAGCTTCCTGATGAAAAGCTGGAAAAATCCAACGCTGTATTCTGAATTCAATACCATGACCAGCATACACATCATATACTTGTGTGTCGTATATACGTCTAAACCCAACTCGTATTCCCTATTATTGGGATTAGAAAAAGCCGATAGAACGCGCTTTCGCAGTCTATACTCGAACTGGAAGGCGTTTCTCGTTCAAGGAAAAATAATTCATTCGTATCTTCTCTCTTATCTTATCTCCTCTCTTATTTTCTCTCTCTTCCTATATTTCTTGTCTCCTTGTCTTGTATGTCTTTCTTACAAATCTCATCTTAACCTTATCTTACACTTTATCTTTCAGAGTAAACGCCACCATTCTGTAGGAGTTAATTGTTATATTGCACCTCACCGGATTTCCTCATATATTGTGCGATCATGTATTTGGGTAACAATCGTACGTCAAATTCGTTGTTATGGTGCAGTTTTTCGCAAGCCACAGTTCACATTGCTCATCCTTATCCCCAATGTCTAAATGACTTAGCGAGCGCTAATGACGCTCTACGTAGAAAGCGCGTTTTAGTTTTTGAACGAAGAGATTGAAAACGAGCATGATAATAAGACTTTTATTCGGATATGGCATTTTATAGGGCAAATCGGAGTTTTGATGTTTGTCGGGTAGGAACAAGGCAACCTACTGTTTCTGTTATCTTCTTTTTTCTCCCGGTAAATCAATGTTCATGCACAGTTCCACCTCGATGGGTTATGAGTGTTATTTCATGGTTTGCAGAAAAGGATTGCTCCTCCCACAATCGATTTTCGAGCATAGGATTGTGTCTTTTCGCCTCTTCTCTTCACTCCTCTTCTACCATCTTCCACATAAGTTCCGTCGACGGTAAGCGATTCGTGTGCTACTTCTTCTAACCATCTAATCATCTAACCTTTTTTTTTTTTGTTAGAAACTGGTTGTGAATTAGTTTGTGTGAACTCGTACGACATATTTTATTATATGTAGGGATTGTTATAAATGCCGTGGTTTTCAATGTATACCAACGGACAGCAAATTGCACATCCCACATTCAGTGTTTCGCGTTTATCACTGTTGCTCTACTAAATCTAAAACCAAGTATTCGAATGATGTGATCAGTATGACCCGGATCCCGGATGGTGTAGTGGTGAAGTGCGCGGCTCCCCGGTAAGGACAACAGCGCGTGTTCGTTCCCCACTGCATACACCTGTGGTCCGGAGTTTTGCAAATATCTCAGCATTTCATACGAGTTATAATTCGAAACATACCCTGCCATTAAGAAGAAAAGGCAGTAAATAAAAGAGTTAAGATGTGATCAGTGTTTTCCGTGCTTCCTGAAGTTCGAATGACTATGAATCTTTGATCACGGGCGATAAAGGTAAAGATGGGCGTCCCGTACGAATCTCACTCGATTAACTTGATCGGTGACGGACCTCCCATTTCGAGTACCTATTGGCAAAACGGAAACAATCGGTGTCAAATATTATGCTCTTTTATATTTAAATAGTAATATCTTGTCTAAAATTTGTTAAGCCTTCTCTCCTGAATCTGTATAGTCAATTATGGCAACGGTTAGGAAAGTGATGAGTTTTCATCTGTCGTTAGGGAATTATTCTCTATATCGTTCTGTTCGAATATTTGTAAAGAAATCATGATGATATGCTCTATGCATGATGATGATATTTTATGATTCCGATTAACTGAGATTGATTTGCCCACTTTGTACAGTTGCCATAAAAGCACAGTGAAATTTTTCTTTGTAACTGGGGATATTTTTCCGACAACTAGAGTAGTTGAGAAGCTTAGAGCTTGGGAAACCTAGTTGCTTGAGCGGCTTATCCCTTACTAGACAATTTTTATAAAGCGTTCTATCACTGGTTTTACGAAAAAAAAAAATCAAGCGAAAGTCAGTGAGTCAAGGCCTCGTTGACTATTCTTTTACTTACTAAGCTGCTTATAACCAAAATTCATAAAGATCTAGTTTAATGTTCCTGACGCAAATGACGCTCCTAGAAGTACTAGTGATATTATTGTGAATCAGCATGTAACCAGTTCTGTAAAATCCCGCTTGTTCAGCAGCGCAGGTGCTTAAATTAGGGGCTTGGTCGAAGAGAAGGAGAAGAAATATGTTCCGCATGTTCATGGATTGTACATGTTTTCGTTACAGGTCATAAAGTCCACTACAGGATTGGACGTGTTGGTTCAAAGTTTTCTCTAAATACATTGTACTTGGTAGCATGCTATGTGATAACCACAGAAATGGAGCAACAAAGTTCATGATGCATATCATTTTGATGTATCGCTACAACTTTGTTCGCTTTAGTGCTCGTATTTCAGCTAACTCTGCGATTCAGAGAAGATGGTTGACGTGGTGATGTGTTGGTTACGCCTTCAGACGACCTTCCATGGCAACGAGTACAAGTATTTCAAAAAAAAGACCGTTTATGTATATCCCAGTACAACAATTAAACAATACAATGAAATTTCAGGGATATAGCCGACATTACAACCACTTGTGTATGAAATAAAGGATCTATTAGCTATAGTAACCGTCGGGCCAATCGTTGCTTGGATGACCACTGAGAACACACCTCATTCCGAAGAACGGACAACGCTGTAGTCGCGGATATGGGCAGTGATAGAACGGCATAAAGGGGCAGAATGGTGTCGGATGATTGTGGTAGGCGTGCGGGAACCGTTCGTAACAAGAATGAGAGTAGGGTGAGTGTCCATATGAGAATCCTGGAAAATGGCACTGGTACCTGCAAGAATAATATGGATCACAGAAATTGTTTTTTTTGTGCGAACGGCTTTTTGAGATCCATTTCTGATCCATGGTCAACCGTTTTCGTTCAAGCGACTCTTGGCCCAATTCGATGCGATCTGACGACGAATCTTCACTTTTACCTTTTGCGCGGACGTAAACCATCATGACGTAATTTTTCTTGGCGTGTCTAAACAATGCGTCAGCGTCGTCGATTTCATAGTGCTCTCCTCTGTGATTTATATGATACATGCTTCGTTTTGGAATATTTAGTTCGTCAAGTTTCTTCATGAATGAGCGGTACAAGTCATCTTTATCATCGCTGTACTTGATGATGAAAAGTGACACACCTTCTCGGATTAGCTGAAAACAAGCGGTTTTTTCCTCAGCTGTCGATCCGTTAATATTCTGTGGAGCGGACGAGACATCCGTTGAGGGTGACATCCTGGCAATGAAATACGGAAAAATCGTGAGTATGGGAAAGTGACCGTGGGCGGAGTCGCTCATGAAGGTGAGCACCGACGGTGACTCATCTCGTGGGCAGAGAACGTTTCGAGTTCTTTCGGGTGCACTCAGCAATACGCACCACCGAACATCAATCAACTTTTGCAGACCCTTCATAGTGACATGTAATTCTTTTGAATCGAAAAGATTTCTGCTAACAATGTAATAGAAATCTTTTGGGGAGATAATGCTCTGAGACATTCGCAAAACTCCGGACCGCAGTTGTGTTTGGTGGGGAATAAACACGCTATCGTCCTTTTCGGGGAGTAACGCGTTCACCACCACACCATGCGGGTCCTTCGTTTCTCCTGCCTCTCAGCTAGTTCTATCGATCTTTGCCACAGCAATCACCCGTCAGCGGTATTGATCTGGGGCGCCCAAAAAACTGAAAAATGCTGATGAACATCATCTTAGCTGTATTTCAGATGATGTCCTGCCGTTAAAAACTAAAGTAGGTAGCAAATGAAAAGGCTAAGCTTATGGGGAGAGTTGAGAATATTCGGAAGAGGCCAAACTTGTGATTATCTGAGAATATATTACATAAATTTTTATATGCATTCTTCCTTTGATGACCTTACATGAGGTTGATAATGATGTTTATTTTCGGCTAACGTTTCGACGTCTTCGTCTTCCTCAGAGCCGATGATCCGAGTCGATGGTCCTCGCTTGTTATTCGTCTCGACGTGGCAGCTTCGCCTTCGTGTCGAGTCAGGTCTTCTTCAATGAGCCATCTCCTCGAATGAGGTATCCTTACTCAGTGATGCCATTTTATACACGATGCTGATGGTGGATATAATGATAATGTCCAGTGATAACAACTTGTTTTTCTTCCGGTCATAATCATCGCTCACATCGTGCAGAAGTCGGTGTTATTATCAGTTAGCATAAAGCGTAGTAATATTTCGAAACCGACTTGCTGTTATACATATTACAATTATGTTAATATTACATATATACAATACATATTGATTAGTGATACCGAGGTTCAAGGAAAGTCGGTTTCTAAATATATTATATAAATTTTATTACACGCTTCATATGTTCTGGTGTTCTTTTCAAATTCTGCAAGTAAAAGAAATTGTCCTCATATTTTCCCACAGCCGTGGCGGAGGCGTATCTTTCCGGTTCTCTCAACCGTTGAAGAAATGAACGATTAACGATGAAAGCTGCTGCGTCAGCGTCATTTCACGGAAGAATTATCTATCCGCGGTTAACAAAGGTCATGTCCAGTATTGATTTTGTTGCTTTTGGTCTCATGTTAAAGAAATGGCGATAATTTCGGATCCTAGGCAGCCTGTGGTCTCAAAAAGATCGCAAAAGTGGGTGTATGAGAGGAATGCTTCGAGAAATACAGCAAGCTGTCCTTATGGCTTGTCATGGATTGTTTGATGTAAACTCAGTTTTACCTGATAAATGTAGAATTTCCGGTGTAGACTAGGAAAGTATTGTCAAATAGTGGAACAATCCTGACATAATGCAGAGAAGACCGTGAAACCCAGAGCACTGAGGTGGTCGTGGAATTTCATAAAATTGGCACCTTCTTCTGGTCCGTTATAGTATTAATTACCACTAAATTAGGTATCATCTTCGTGATTAATGAAATAAAGGTGACATTTTTTCTAATATAGCACAGAATTTATAATGCCCATGCTCTTTCTCCTCGCCATACTTCGGCGTCCGATGATCGCTTGCCAGCATTCAGCAAAACCTGGGCAAGAATTTTTGAGAAGGCCGGAGAAGAAATAAGCTTATGGCCTTCAACAGTTACAAAGGCGATTTCGCGTTCCAAATTGGCCATTTCATCCGTTCGCTTGTGAAAGGAAAGCTCATACGGATACATGTAAACATTTGCAAGGTTCTCACACTTTTGTTGGAGCGGGAATAGTTTTTCCTTGTTCCTTGGTTTTAAAGGCTCATTCGAAAAATGAAGTACTGCAACCACTTGGTTGTTCGACCGTTAGTCGTGGTTTTAAAACAGGTGAAGATCTACGGCGATGGCAGTGCCTTTTCCACCAACGGGTTCCGTGTTATAGTGAATATCGCCAAATCAATAGAAAGAACGAATAATGCACTTTTACAATTTATATAAGGATTGCATACTAAGTTAACGCAAATAAGAAACGAAAATGTTTTCCTAATAGATCAATGAATAGAATGTGAGAACACTGTACAATAGAATGTCAGATATATTTTAGACATGTCTTAGAAATCGGCACTCATTAAACCTCGGTAGCAATTATCAACAGTTTTCCACAAGTTTGGTCTAACACGAAACTGGCGTAGAGTATTTGTTCGGCTAACGCTTCGGCGCGTTCTTCTTCCTCAGAGCCGTGTTGAACCGGTTTGGTGGTTCACAACTGTACTCGTCGTTGCATCGAGTGGAATCCATTGGGAAAAGGGAGAGGGTACTGCTCAAATGAGGAACTTCAGTCTTCGGTGCTTTTATATGGAGGATGGATGCTATTCGATTCCTGCCGTCCATTATGATCTGCATTTTCCATTAAATCTATTTAAAAAGGAAAAATATGCCAGATGGAGCTCGATGAGCTATGTGTACTTATCCTTTCTCAAAAGCGAGTTTAAGCGAAAGGCCTTATTCCAAAAGGAAGACTCCTTCATAAGCATGGAGCTGTATTGAGAGCGGGCTTTACTGTTGCCTGATCGAGTTTCTCGATGAGTAGGGGATTACAAGTAGTGCTCGACGGACTCTTTTTTACGCGGAATATGAGCATGTGTGACGATTAGCAGAAATAGTCGGTTAAAAACAACTCTTACTACTAAATATGGGCTCTTAATTTTAAAAGAATGGCTAAGATTAGTCCCTTTTGTCAAATTGGAAACATTCCAAGGAAAGACGTATGCTACAGATCAATAACATGGATTGGAAGCAACTGCGCCCATAGGTATGTTTTGACATGCTCGCGTTCGTCAGCTATTCAAATCGCCGTAATTCTATACAAATCCTCCTTAGTGTTCAGGTTCTAAGCGCAGGGGTACCGTTGTGCCCAAAGAAAACGAGTCGCACATTGATGTGGCCCGACTCCCAGTTTCACGGAAAAACATCATGGAGGAAATGGCAACACCACTGACCGAGAAGATGATCAAGAAAAGGAGAAGAAAATACCAAATCACCAAGCAATCGAGTCGTTATCGTGTAGATCTGAACGACAGACTTCCATCTATGGAAAAGTTCAAGTAAAGCAAATACGTTGCTTTCTTTCTCGACAATCTCTATGTTATACAGCATATGTTTACTTCCGCACTAGAAACACATGCAACCCAACAGTAGCCGAAGATTCGGCAGGAAGGTATATTGATATGCCTGAAGGCTCTAGAGAAAGCGATAGTGCCGTAAAGTCCACTACTTTTGTATCGTATGTGTTTTTGTACGGAAGTAAACGCATGTAGTATAAAAACCTCGTGATTGCTGAAAAAGAAAATGACGGATTTATAATCTAATGCCGACGATAATAGAAAGTTGAACCTGGGAGCAGATATTTGTTTCACCTACAATGACATACCACATCAGTTCCAGGACCACAGTGAAGTGCATCATATCCACCAAGCGCACATTTTTGCTTAGATAAGGAAAATTTGGTGCTGTACTCCGTCTTTACTTTAGAAATTGATCTCAAGATTTAACCTGATATAATACCCGATTCTTTTGCATAGGCCATCGTTGCTGAGTGGTTTCTTTTGTTGTCCAGCTGTAACGTAGAGCAGAGATGCCTTCACCTGGAACCAGAATGTCAGAACCGAAAACATAAAAGAAGATAAAATCCTCAAGCAGTAGTTGAAACAGCACATCGAAACGTTCAAAGACCTTTCTGGAGAATGAATGCGAGGAAAATAGACTGAATACAAGAAGTGTTACGACCCTCACAGTGTGATGTACGATCCACACAGTACAGATGTGATGACGAGTCATGTAAAATAAAAAAAACACAATTAAAGTCAAAATAGATTCTTCAATTCTGTTAGATCTTATTGAGATTAGACCGTAAATATATTGTCGATTTGAATGATGGAGCTACCCACCTGGAAACTTCGAGGAACCGAGGCTCAATACCCATTTTATTGACACCCACTAATGTTAGACTGGGTATTTAAGCTCAAGATCGAGCCAGGGGCAATATGAAAACAAGTAATAGTCGCGCTTCTCAACTTTAACTAAACATATCTCGGTTCAGATTGGACTGTAAACATCTTTGTTAAATTACACCCACATTCCATAAGTTCTATGAATATTTTTATTTTTTTTAAATTTTTACAACTCAAGGTAATTGGGAAAAGTGAGCAATTTTACGAGGAAAAGTGCCAAATTTTAAAAGCTGTTACGAACATATTTCACGCAGAAGGGCTGCAAACCTTTATTCTTTCTGCTCCGTTAAAATCCTACATAGCTGAACTTTCAGTTAAATTCTTCTCATATTGGATGGCGCCAATAGATCGACATCCGTGCTGTAGGAAAGGCAATACCAAATGATATTCTTCATTCCATCGGTGCTCTAATTAACCGGATGCCACACGTTGTGACAACGAACAACCACAGCGCGAGGACCACCACCCGTGGATCAGTGGATTATCCACTCCAATCAATCCGTGAAGCCTTGAAAAAAACGAACACGTCGAAACGTTAATCGACCAAATATTTTATACCAACCTCGTGCTTGTTTAATAGTCGCAGAAACTATTTCAGGTGATCGTTTTATTTTAAATTAACGCTTAATTTAGAGACTGCAATTAGGACAAATTTGCGCAGTAGGAGAGTGACATAAAGTCATTGTACAGGCTTAAGAGCAAGCGTATTGGTGAGCGGCCATACACGGATAACATTTCAACATTTCCTATTCTCCTCCAGATATTCCGTTCTGAAATGTGCAAACTGTGCTCGTTTAAAAATTGCACTTCTGGTCTATCGCTGGCCGTAGAATCAGCCTTATCGCGAAATTGTTTCGAAAATAAATTTTCCTTGTCGTGCACCAGTTTCAAAAGTAGTTATTAGTTTGTCCTTTACGGAGGGCAGTTTCGAAAATAACCCCGATGGTGATGAGATACTTGCAGAACTCCTGTCCGCAGGTGTCTGCGGTGGGGAACGAACGCGAGCGCGTTACTAGCCTTTCCTGGGGCTAATGCGCTCACCACCACATCATGCGATTGCGCTCATCACCACACTTAGCAGTTCCTTCGTTTCGCCTGTCAGCTAGTTTTCTATCGATCAGTGCCGTCAGCACTCGTCAACCCGTCAGTTTCGAAAACAGGTATTAGTTTGTCCTTTGCGGCGCACAGTTTCGAAAATAGTTTTTTCTTGCCAGCGAACAGTTTCGATAATAGAAATCGATCCAAAACTTCAGTAAAGTGACATTTTATCAGCACCGAGATCTACAAATTCCTCCCGTGCCGGATTTTCGAAAACGATAACCACACCGCTTGAACATGTGTATAAAGAGCTCGCGGCTTAGTAACATTTCATTCCTATCAATCTCTTCATCAACTATGACAGAAACCAATTCTGAACCGAAAATTGCTCATTTTAAACTGTACCGCGAAAGTATGCAACGATTCATTATTGGTCCTTCCAGAAAAAGATCGACGAACGTAGCATTCCACCTCTAGTCGTGTACTTTATCGACAATAACGGCGAGGCGTACAAATCAGCGATGCATATACTTCTATTCAGAATAGTGAAAGACCACACACCAGGGTTACCGTCAGTGCGGAAGACGATCACTCTCAAATTCGTTTTCGTATTTTGCCGAACATGAGCCGTCAGAACTAAAACGGCGAATGAGGATTCACCACCGCAGCGCTTCCAAGAGCGGCGATCTTTCTTGTCCAAGAGACTACAGTTGGATTAAGTACTGTCCTTGGGCACGATTCTGGCGCTTTCCCAGATTTTGTCCGGAATTTTTCAACGATTTCTGCAGCTGTTATGAGGAGCCCTCACCCTTCCGCTTCATTGGAACGCACAGTTTCCCTACAAATCCGCGAATTTGTGGAAATCACGATCGCATGCGTGATGTCGAGCACTATTTCGATCAACCGCCACCGTCCAGCTCTTTCAGACCAGCCAGTATTCCTACGGATCCACGAATAGGACATCACGGATAAGTGCATGACTTCGATTTAAGATACAACCAGTTGTCACTTTTTGGCGCCTCCAAATCTTTCTGTTCCCCAGTGGATCCGCGTATGGGACATGTCTCGTTTTGTGGAATGGGACTTGGTTGTGATGGACACTATCGTAGCGGTACGAAAGACTGATTCCATGGTTAGCAGATATTTAATCCTGACTGTTATTGCGTTCAGTTAAAACTTTTATTTGAAATATTGCTTTTGTTCTGTAGTGATTTATGTCTCGTTTGGACACTTCATTAGAATTGTCAGGACATTGTACAAGCTTCCACTTTGTGCGTTTTGTTGTGAGTCAGTTGATAAAATTTTAGTAACCTTGAAAATGAAGGCGTAGAAACAGTTGTGCATACAAGCGGCAAAGAAATGTGGTCTTCTACAGTGTGAAAGAACAGAAACCTTTGGAAAACTCTAAAAAGTTTTAATAAATGCTTTCTAAAAACCTCTACAAATCTAGTTAGTTGGAGCTGAATATATAAATATCGTGCTAGTAATATATAAATATCTTCCTTACGTGCCCCGTTTGAAGGATCTCAGGCTGCTCAGTTGCCAGGCCACGTGACGTCTCTTCGTGTAGCTGATAGGAGGCTGAACAACTGGCCAACACTGCAGTGATACCTCGGTGCAAATAGATGTAAGGAAGGCGTTCCTTGCCATCAGTTCGCCTACTACTCATGTTTTTCGTATACGGATAATCACATTCCCGGA